GACCAGCGTGGAGAGTGGCACGGCCACCAGGAACGGGCCACGGCAATGGCCCTCCTTGTAGAGCGAATAGAGAAACGTTACAGTCTGGATGGTCTTGCCCAGACCCATCTCATCGGCCAAGATGGTGTCGATGCCCTGGCCCCAGCTGTAGCGCAACCAGTTAATGCCCTCAATCTGATAGGGATGCAGCTGCATGCCCGTATCCTCGAGGAACGCTGGCTGGCCCTCGTACTTCTTCTTCAAGTCCGTGGTTGGCTTCTCTGGCGGCGGTGTGTAATGCTTAACGGGACGATCCTCGTCGTCGAGCTCCAGCTTGTGCTTAGTTTTGCGACCCTTTTTACTCTTCTTGCTGCTGGAGCCACGAAACTGCTCCGAAGTGCACACTGCACGCAGATCCTGATAGTAATCGATGGCCTGTCGTAGGCCGGGTATATCGTCGCCCTCCTCCTCCCAGGTGGACTTGTCGTAGGGCAGCTCACGCCACTTCACCAGATACATGGTGCTTCCGTCGCGTGCCGTGCGATGATTGATGACACGCTGCACAATCAGCCACTCGGGCTTCACGCCATTCTTGTAGAATCGCTCCTCGAGGGCGGCCTCGTCGTCGTCGTCGTTGCCCTTCATGCCCACCTTGTCCTTGTGGCGCTGAATGCGCTTGAACCGGGTATCAGCCTCGTCCAGTGATTCCTCAAATTTGGGCGGCTCCTCCATATCGTATTTGCGCTGGAACGAGCGTATCATCAGCGGATGATGGACGTCCAGCTGCACCTCAGAGACCCAGTCGCAGTGCCAGTATGACATGTTGTGCCACTTGATGAAGTACTCGCGGACACGGCTGCCCTGCTTGGCGTTCTTCGAGGTGGATGCCTCGCTGCTGCCTCGACGCTGCGGGGCCCAACGCCAGGTGATGATCTTCTCGGCCTTTCCGATCAATGGAGGGCAGCTGCAACGCGGACACCGCCAATCACCGTCCGGTATGGTATCCAGCGGCGGATTCAAACAGAACGTATGATAAGCCGACGGGCAGGAGTCACAGCAGAGCAGCTCGCCGCCATCTTTGCACACGCGGCAAAACTCCTGATGCTCGTCGTCGTCCTCCTCCTCGGCTGCGCCGCCGTCGGCCTCGCAGTGGGGGCATGACCATTTACCCTCTGGCGGTTCGTCCAGTTCCGGCTCCAGGCAGACCAAATGGTAGGCGCGTGGACAGGTGTCACAGAGAATGATTTCGCCGCCCTGTTGGCACACCTCGCAGTAATCCTGATGCTCATGCTCGCCATCTTCGCCCTCGGGAAAGTTCTTTGTCTTCTTGATTTTGTTCTTCTTCTTGAACTTGTTGCCAATCTTGGTTTTGGCCTTCTTGCGCACAACTGGTGCTCCATCGTCCTGAGCCGCGGCTGCGGCATCCGCCTCTGCCGGTTGCTTAACCTTCTCCTTTTCTTTTTCCTTCTCATCGGCGCTATCATCCGATTTCTGCAGCATGCGCTCAAACTCCAAGTCGGAATCACGTTCGGAGGCACCACTTGCATCGGGCTCCTCGTCGGAACTGTCGCGCTTACGCTTGCCAAACTTGATCTTCAATGTGGGCACTTTGCCCGATGGTCGACGTCCCTTTTTATTGCTGCTACGTCCACTGCGCTTGCGTCGTGGCTTCTTCTCCTCCTCCTCTTCCTCTTCGTCCTCCTCCTCTTCGTAAATGTCGTCGGGTTTCTCGTTACGCGATGAGCGCGAAGAGCGCGGCTCATCAGCTTCGGGCGCCGCAGCAGCTGCCTGCGCTTGACCGCCCTGCTGCTCCTGCTGTATATGCGGATTACTCTCGCAGAACTCGCGCCACTTGGCAGCCACAAGCATCATCAGCTTGGGTGCAGCAATCTTCGGATTTTCCTTCTGCAATATGGGTCGCACGTGATGCATGAATGCCCTGTATGTGGTCAGGCTCTGCAGCTCCTCCTCGCTGTACTCGATCTCCACATCGCACACACTGAACGCCGAGCAGACGTCTTCCACAGAAGGCATGCCTACAATACATAGTTGATTAGTATGAATTAGCATACAGCTTTATTAAATTACAACTCACCCGAGGATGAAGATTCCTTCTCCTTTTGGGCTTGCTTCTCCTCCTTGCGCTTGCGTCCACGTTTCGATGAGGTGCTGGGATACTCCACCTCTTCGTCGTGCTGAACAAAATCACTGTCCTCCTCGCTCTCATTCTTCTTACGTTTCTTCTTTTTGCGTCCCTTTTCCTCGCCTTTTCTGGTCTTACGCTTCTTGCCCTTCTTCTTCTTGCGATTATCCTCCGGATCGTAATCATCATCTTCGTCATTCTGCACATTTGTTAATGTGTTATACATATATTTATACTTGTATATGTTATGATTATTATCTACTCACATTGGGCTTCAGTGGGGCATCGGAATCATTGGAAAGCTCTGCTACCTGAGCATTGTCCTCAACTGCCTCTTCCTCTTCTACAAGTTGTAAGTAAAATAAGTTATCGATTAGTGACTGTGTTTGTAAATCTATCGCATAAGCGCGAACTCATGCAAGTTTTACCGTGGTACATGTTCAAGCGAAAAGCTGCTCAAATTAGAATCTTCAAAACAAGCGACGATGTGACCTAATATTCCAATTATTAAGTAAATATGTACCCAGACAAAAATATATAAATGAATTTCTCCAATCAACTTCCATCCAAAGACAAATAAAAATTTCTTTGCTTTCGACAGTTCACAACTCGTTCATAAAAATAATAAGAAATACGGGTGTTTTTTTTTCGATTCAATATTTTATTTGACTCTATTTTTCTTTGCTTTTTTTGTTAAGTTTTTTTTTCTGTTTTGTTTTTTTTGTTTTGTTTGTCGCCTTAAGAATTACTAGTATATAACAATATCTCATTTTTTTTAAGATTTTTAATTTTGCTGGTTTTGTCAGCGATTTTGCTCTTAAATTTACAATAATAATAAGTTTAATAATAATAATAATAATTTTCTCATGTCTCTTGATCTGGTTTTACTCCTTTTCTCCTTGCGGCTTACATAATCTTTATTTATCAATAAGTTTTTTTGTTGTTTTTTAAATTGCAGTAGATTAGTTTATATATGTATTTGCGTGTGTGATTGTGTATGTGTGTGTGTGTGAATTTTTGCTTTGTGTGTGGTGTGTGGGCGTGGCATTTATGCGTATAAAACTAGTAAGTTTCCCCAATCTTCTCTTCTTTTCACTTATCAAATGTCATTGTTGTATATAGGTATATAGTTTTTTTTTTTTTTTTTTGTTTCCTTTTGTATTTGTATATAAATTGTATATATGATTTTCAATTTTGTTATTTTTTGTAATTGCTAGAAATCGATTTTAAACGCATGATTTTTGCAACTTGATCTCATTGTTTCATTTGATTTTCCCTTTTCGTTTCGTTTGTTTTGTTTTCTTCTTTATTTATCCTCCTCTCCCTACTTCCTTAATATGGTATATAAAAAATATTTCAACGAAATAGCTAACAAAAAACTTGTCGGGTTTTTCATTTCTGTTCTTTACTTAAAAATTTTTGTGTGTTTGCATCTTTCAATTACATTTCTTTTAATATTCTTTGTGTTTTGTTTTTGGACACGCTAGAGTGTTTCAGCAAATTATTTTGAATAATTTCTCAGCAAAATATTTGACTTGACATTTTGTTTCCTTAGACATACATATTTTTAAGGAAGCGTCTGTAAAGGTGCTTTTTAAATTGTTGACTAAAACTAGAAACAGCTTCTTTGTATTCACGTATTTTTTCTTTTATTCATTTAATTTTTTTTTTTTTTTTATTTATTTGTGGCCGCATAGCTCTGAAATACAACCGCACAATCATGTCTATAACTCATTTGATTAGTAGATTTTGTATTAACTTTTCTTTGTTTTGAGCAAAAATTTGTCTAAAGGCAAACGAAACAATACATAATTGTTTAAATAGCTTGATTTTCGGATTTAAAAATGAAAAAAACAAATTAGCGCTATTAGAATTCACGGAAACAAAAATTATATATTTTAGAAACACACAAAAATATATATTATATAACAAAAAATTAACTAGTTATACAGAAGAAAAAAAAACATTAAAAATTAAATGAATTTTTGCTACACAAGCTGCTACAATTAAGAAAAATTAACAAGCCGTTTAAAAAAGTTCAGTCTATTGTTAAAGAGGCACGCCCGCATGCAACACCACAAGAAAATATACGTAAATGTGTGTGGATGTGTGTGTGTCTGTGTCAGCTGCATAGGTGCAAGACTAAAGAAAATTGCTCCGGGCCCACTGTGCAAGCATTAAATCATGTTGTTGTTGCCGCTGTTGTTTCTGGTATATCAGAGTGCATGGGTTTATGGATAGTAGGAAACAATCATAGTTAACAATGAAGCCGTCGTGTATGAGTGTATGTGTGTTTGGGTGTTTATAAACATAAAAGGAAAACAGTTTAAAAAATAAAAAAGGTTTCTGTTGCTTTCAAATGAAGAAACATACGCTCTTTTTCTCTGTCTATATATGTATATATAAAAGTATATATTTAAAAAGTTGCTTGAAATAATATTTAAATTATTATTACACACAAAACGTAAAAATCAAAGAAAAAACAAATATAAAACGTATTACATTGTTTACATTCACATATATCGAAAAATTGATTTCTTGTTCATAAAAATATGCGTGTTTCTACGTCGCTTTTTGCATACAGTTGTTTCTTCTTCTTCTTTTCTTTTCGTTTGTTTTGTGTTTCATTAACATAACTTTAACATTTTTTTGTTGGTTTTGTTTTTTACTTTCTTAGTACATTTTTCTTTAGAACGCTTAGGTTTTTTTTGTAGTTTTTTGTTGTTGGAGTTGCTTTTACTATATTAGGTATGTAATACGTATATATATACATATATTTATACACATAAATATACATATATATATACACATATACATAAATTTATATAATAATATATATTTATTTATAATAGTTTCTTTTTTTGCCTTTTTACATTATTTTGCAACTGCAGCTGCAGTCGCTGGTGTTTTTGTTGTTGTTTTGTATCGTTTTATCAAGAAGTAGCTTTGTGTTGTTGCCGATTGTTGTTGTTGGATTATTCATTTAATCAGTAGCGTTCGTCATCATCAGTATTGGAGTTGGAATCATCGCAATCATCGTCATCATCATCATCATTGGAATCGGAGCTGCCAGAACTGTCATCCGAATCGCTCTCGTGGCTGCCGTTGTTAATGTTAATGTTGTTGTTGTGATTGTTGTTGATGTAATGTTGCTGTGCTTGCTGTTGCTGCTGTATCGTTTCCACTGCATGATGTTGCTGCTGTTGCCGATGCTGCTGCTGCTGCTGTTGCTGCTGCTGTTGCTGGTGTTGGAGATGTTGCTGTTGCTGTTGCATGCTGCTGCTTTCCGCTAAACGAGCCGTTGCTGCTGCGGCTTCGGCCTGCACTTCAGCTGCAGTCGGTGGTGGTGCGGCTGCTGCTGCCTCTGGCATTGTTGAGGCTGCTGCCGAACGGCAAATCAAAGTCTTGTCGTAGTCCATCACCAGCTGCTTGATGTACGCCAACTTCGCGTGCAAGTAGTCAAATCTAAGCTTGTCGTTGTGGATGTTGCGATCGCTGTTGATGCGCTCGTATTCGCTGACAATCTGGCGCTTGATTTGATCGTAGTCGCCGCCGCCGCGTCGCCGGGCGCCCTCCAAGCGAGTGGACAGATCCTGGAAACGATTGCGCACGTCCTCCACGCTGCTCAACAGTTTGCGGTACTCATCATAGTCGCTCTCAAATTCAGTCTTGTAGCGTCTGCGCACCTCCAGCGTGCGTATGGGCGCATATTGGCTGAAGTCATAACGGGGCGCGGCATTCGCATCAGCGTCCGCTGTTGCCGCTGCGTACGCATGCGCAGCCGCTGCCAGTTGCTGTGTGGGCGATGGATGTTTCGCAGTGGTTCCACTTGATCCAGATTCGCGATTATAATGATAAGGCTGCTGCTGCTGCAGTTGCTGTTGTTGTTGTTGTTGTTGTTGCTGCTGCTGCTGCTGCTGTTGTTGGTGATGATGATGGAGCTGTTGCGCCTGCACAGGCGCTGGCAACTGTTGCTGTTGTTGGTGCTGTGCATACATGTTGCTGCTGCTATTACTGCTGCTGCTGCTGCGCTGCCGTTGCCCGTTGCTGCTGCTGCTACTCGTGCGCTTCTTGCTATTGGACGCGGCATGTGTGTTGTTGTTGTATGAATTGTACTCATCGTGCGCATTATTGTTGCTGTTGCTGCTGCTGCTGCTGTTGAAGCTGTTCCGTTGCTGCTGCTGTTGATGCTGCTGCGTTGCTGCTGTTGGCGTCGACTGACGTACAAAACTAGCAGTCAACTTGGGCGGCGTTGTTGACGATTTGCGACTGTGCGCCGACTGCTGCTGCACTGTCGACGACTGGCGACTGTTGCGCTCCTGTTGAGTCTCATAGCCACTGGAACTGCTCGAGTTGCTGCCCGTCGAGTTGCGCTTGTCAATGGGGCCGCCGATGGTCGTGCTTTGCTTGGATGAGCTGCCGCTGCCACGTCGACTGTTGCTGTTGCTGCTGCTGCTTCGTTGCTGATGTTGCTCCCCAGCAGCTGCTGCTGTCATGCTCCTAAACTCGTCCATGTTGTCCAGCACGCTGTATGTTAAGTCGCTGCTGCTGTGATCCTCCAGCTGTGGCTGCTGTCGCTGCGGCGGCGTATACGCAGCCGTGCGATTGCGATACGATGAGCCCGAGGAGTTGCCCGAGGGGCAGCCAGCGGACGACGAGGAGGACGATGTGAATTGTGGTCCCGCCTCCCTTGTATAGTGACTGATGCGCTGCTTTTTCGGATGCACCGTACTGAACATTTCGTCGTACTCAATGCTGCTCCGTTTCAGGCTGTTGCCACCGATGATGCCGCCTGGTCCGCCGCTGTGGCTGCCCATTTGCGGTACCACATTCGAAGGCATGCTGAGCAAGGGCGGCGGGCTACCTGTATGGGTGGACGTTGGACTTTGGCCGGAGGTCGAGCTGCCTGCATCGGAGCTCATTGGAGGCGTCAGATTCTGTGGCTTGCGACGCTTCAGTTGCTGCAGTTCCTGCTCGCTGAAGAACGGCCAGTTCTCATCGACATCGTTCCACATCTGGCGCCTCAAATTGAAGGTATTGTGAGACATGGTGCTTATATCCGTGAGTATATTGCCAATTAGATTGCGCTCCCGATCCTTGATACCCTCGTTCTTGAGGCGCGCGTAAAGCTCTGGTTTCTTGAACGGCTTCAATGCCAGCAAATGTATTAATCGCTCCCGTATGCTGCGCCGCGATACATCGGACATTTTGTTGCCATTGCCACCACCGTTGCCGCTCGCACCACCCGATTTGGTGTTGCCACTGCGCGAATTGCTGCCGCTGCCGCTGCCGCTGCCGTTGAGCATCTTATTGCGTCCATTGCTGCTGTTACTGTTAAAGGATCCACCCAGCGCTGTCCCCGTAACTGCTCCTGCTGTTGTGCTATTGTTGTCTCTCGGCGAGCTGCCGCTCAGCGCATAACCCTGGGAGATACCATTGGCAAATGTGTTGGCCAGGGCTGTGCTGCGGCTGCCATTGACTGTGCCGCTGGCACCCAAAATATTGGGATTGGGCGAGCGTGAGGCGATTGATGTTGTTGCTGCTGCTGCTACGGATGTGGCTGCTGTTGCAACTGATGATGACGTCAGACCATTAAATGGCGATGAAACTAACTTACGACTATTGTTACTGTTAAAACTATTGCTGCTACTGCTGTTGCTGTTGTTGTTGTTCCCACTGTGATGTGAAGATGCCGACGGCGGCTTCTTCACCTTACGCCCAATATCCGATTGATTTGGCTTGATCTCCCGTATACATTTGCTCTTCTCCGTCTCCTCAACTCGAGCCATTTTCGAGCGCGTCGTGTCGTAGACATCATCGTTGGCATGGATACGCATGCGTCGCGCCAATGCTCCAAGCACATCGAGCTCCTGCTGCTGCTGCTGTATGCACTCCAATGTGCCCTCCAGATCGTCAATGGTAAAGCCAAACTTGCGTCCTGCTTCCATCCCGTTCCCGCTGCCGTTATTAACAGAATTGCTGCTATCGCTGCTGGGCAGCGGGAAGTGGATGAAGCCAGTGTTGCCATTGCATTGAATTTTGGCACATTGGCCGGGCGCCAATCGTTTGGCATTCTCATTTCTTTGATACTCCTCGATGGCACGGTAGGCAGAGTCGGTAAGCTTGAGGAATATGTACTCCTTTGTATCATCGGTGTAACGGTGGCTTTGTGACATACCATAATTGCCGGACGAGAACGAGACATTGGGCAGGCATTTTGTTGATGCAATCGAATTGCTCATAACGTGTCCGCCCCCCACAAAAATGCTCTTCTTGATGATGTGTGGATGTGGATCACAATGTTAATGCTAATTTTGTCTAATTACTTGAACTACTCTCTCGTTAGTTGCTTTTGTTTAGTTAAGTTGGCTGCTTAGTCGTTGTGACGTTGCGTGGCGAATGGCAAAAATTTGATTTTGTTTTGTTTTCTTTGTATGGTTGTTTTTGGCTGGCGCGCCAGTGTTGCACAATAAATATTTTTAAAAGGAAGAAACTTATGGAAGTAACTTTAACTGGAAGTTGTTTTGTTTGTAATTCTTGTTGTCGAATGCACTTTGATTAGAGATGTTGTAGAATTTTGAATGTTGCTGCTCCTGTTGCTGCTGGCACCACTCCTGATCTCAAATGTGACGTAGAACAAGCCTGGGGCCCAATGGCAATTGATTGCTGTTTCAGTTTCTGTACAATTTAATAATGTTTTGTTGTTTAGTATGTTGTAATCGCAAGTAAAATTTACGTTGTTGCTAAGACGTGAACCGAACTAAATGCATTGCTTTACATGCATAGAAAACACACCACACATTAACACAAGTACAACCAACTACATATATGCGTATGTAACTGAGCTCGCTCTCTTGAGAGTTTTGAGCTGCGCTACAAACTTGCTTCTGTTGTTGTTATTGCTTCTGCTGCTGCTGCTGCTGATGTTGCGTTTCTTTTCTTTTAATTTTTGATTTGAAATGCAGGCACGAATACAAATACATTCACAACTCTTAATAATTTTGCTGTTGCTTGAGAATTTCACTTCCGTATACATAGGTATCATTTCTCTCTTCTTTTCCTGCTCTCTCTCTCTCTCTCTCTCTCTCTCTCTTTCTCTATCTCTGCCTCTTAACTTTTGTCAAGTCTGGCTCGTATTTATTTGCACTCCACGTTGTTGCAGCTCTATTTGTGTGCTACTTGCAAATAACACAATTTCTTTTGTTGAATAATATGGTATGTATTTTAATTGGGTTAAGGTAGGCATGTATGCTTGTACTCTTGTTGTTGCTATTGTTATTCTTCTTCGTGTTGTTGTTGCTGCTGCTGCTGCTAATTTGCCATGTTGGTGTGCGAGGCGTGCGAATGGCTGTTGTAACTTTTGCTTGAGTTGAAAGTATGACTCCTGCGCCAGGTGCTCGCTCAACTTGTGTCAGTGTATGACTTGAAGTTGCGTATGTGTGTGAGCGCTCAAAAGTCAGGCGGCGGCGACGGCGGCAGCCACAAGCAAAATCAAAGACAGCAGAGCGAGCAATCAATGCTGTTCGTACACATATGCACACGCACACACCCATACACTGTCACATACACCAATATGGACACACGTCGCTTGACTGTTTTTGGATGTGTGTGCGCGCTCGCTGGTTTGTTGGCTTTGCTCTCTTGCTCTCGTCGATCGCAACGTGTAGAAGCGGGACAACTGCTGTTTTGATTGGCACTCACTGTTTCTGCTGTTGTTGTTGTTGTTGCTGCTTGATCTTTTTTTCTTTTCGCTTTTTTAATTTTTGCTAAAAATCATCTGTGTTTGTACGTTGATTTTTTATATACATATTTTTTTCTTCTGCTGCTTATTATATTTTTTGTCCACTTCTATATTAGTTGCATATACATATGTGTGAATATCTCTTTCTTTGCACACGCACACACTGCCACTATCTATGTCGAAAATTGTAGGCACAGAGTTCACTCGAAATAATGTTAAATATTTAATGCCTTTTTACCACTTTTTTTTGTCGTTGTTGTCTTTCATTTACACATGTGTGCGTGAGTATACACTTGTATATAGAGATATGCATGTATTTTGGGTTTTTACGCCAACACTTTTACTCAAGGCATTTTTACTGAGGAATTTTGCTTCGTTATATTTAATCAACCCATTTGTTGGCACACTGGAATTCAGTAATTCATTGTACTATTCACGCATTATGCCTTTTGTTTTGTATGCAACTATATGCATTGTAAAATTGCAGTTTATTTCCTTTTTCACATGAATTTTGCTCGTGTCTGTGTGTCCAAGGTATCTTAATCAACGTACAAAAGGTATCTGCTAAATGAAATCGAAACGAGTTGCTTTCAAGTGGTTGCCGTTGCCGTTGCTGCTGCTGCTGCTGTGCACTCGTTTATTATTACACCGCTCACCACCGCCCCGTGGACAATGCTAAGACAGCGACGTCGACGAGTGTGACGCGACGGAGTAGATCAACAGCAGTAGTCGTTGTCGTTGTCGTGTCTCTCACACACATATACTATACGCACGCATACATGCACTCCTGTGTACGCGCTCAATTTGGCGCTCTTTCGATTTACTCTCGCATGCTCGCTCGCTCGCTCACGCTGTTCAGTCTTGAAAATCAGCGACCAAACAACATCTCGATGTTTCGTTTGAAATACGTACGTGCCTTGTATCACTTGCTGTGGCTGCTACTACTGCTGGTGCTACTGCTGCTACTACTACTACTACTACTATTGCTGACAATCATTCGTTGTTGTTGTTGTAATATAGTTATTATGGAAGTGAAGCGGAGAGCAAAACTGAAAACAAGTTTGCAATTTAATGTGCGCACTTGGCACTCTGCCGCTGGCCGTTGGCCAGTCCGTTATTCGCATTGGTCTACGCTCTTTGCTTTGCGTCTCTCTTTTAATCACACTCTTTGAGAGCGAACGAAATGCGTTGAGTCTATGTTTTTCTTGAAAAGCAATCGCTTATCTTCTCACATATATATATATGTATATACATACATATATTAAATGTGTTCTTTTTTCTTTTTAAAAATACTTGTGTTGGTGTGGGTATGTCTATCTTAAAAAGCTTGCGGCCCGTTGCACGTCTGAGCAAAAACTTAAAAACTTTAGCTTACTTGGTTCTTGTTGCTGTTGTTACGGTTGAATGTATACGTGTGTGTATTTATCTCACCCACTGTTGGAAAAGCTGCAGGCGTACGTAGGGGCACGCGTCACAACAATATAGAAACAAAATATTTAAACAAATTGTAATAAAGCACAAGTCGCAACTACACAGGTACTTACAATATAGGTATGCTTTCATGTGTGGTATTTACATTAAAAAGTCAATAGTGCTTTGTAGATTTCAGTGACTTTATATCGGTCTGATGTGTTGAAACAGCTGTTCTGAACTGACACCTGCGCCCTGTAATTGTATGTGTGTGTTGTTGCCTTGCTGCTACCACGTCACACAGAGTATAGTTCTGAATTCCTTTGTTGTTGTTGTTGTTTTAGTTCTTGGTCTTTTTGGACTGTTATTTCTCGGGCACAACGAGCGCAGAAAACCTTTCACTGCCGCCCCGCGCACAACCAAAAACACAACAGCCAGACAGGCAGGCACAATCAGCTGTGCTCTCGCTGTTCAGCCGAACAGTGTTGAAAACTGTGCGTATATATCGCTTTGACGGGCAATCGATAGGCAAGTGTGTGGTTTATTATTTCTTTAATTTATAGCTTTTCAATTGGACGATGGCTTTATAGTTGTATATGTAGTTGATATTGCTCGATGGTTGTTCTAAAAAAAATAGTTTCCAGTTGAAGTGAAAATCACTTTTATGCGTACACGTGTTTTTACATACTTTGTTATTCTTGTTGCTGCAGCTTGATAAATATTTGATTAGTAGTTGTTTAGTTATTATTGAAGTTGTGCTTTTCTCAATTTCTGATTTGTTGCTTTTAATAAAAACTATGCGTTTGCTTTAAGTTTCACTCTAAATTTTTATGGAAAATAAATTATATTCACAATTGTCACCGATTTAGATTTTTTAAACTTAGGTGGGTTTTCGCTTCCTTCCGTCAGTAATAGTTATCGAATTATGTTTGTCAGCATTTGTTCACTTGTTTTGTGTATGTTACGCGCACGCGATCATACGTTTCAGTTACGTACAGCACAGCTGTTTTATGTTTACGTTGCACACCGTTACGTGACAAAAACTTCTCTTAAGCGGCTCTCTCGCGCGACCTCTCTCTTGCTCTGTCTCTCTCATGCACAGAGCAAGCAAAAGAGCACACGGTTCGGACACCCGATTGTCATTTTTCAGCGTGCTGTTCATTTTTGTTCACTTTTGACATTTTTGCATACGAAAATTTTCCGCTTTCAGGTAGATTTACCGAAGGCAGAGATCTTAGCCGATGCGCTTGTGTATGACTGAATGTACGTGTATTTTGTGCCTATGTATGTTGGTGTTAGTAATTTAGTCGTGTGCTTGTTGGTTCGTGTCTGTCGTGCCTGATTTTCGTTTTTAGTTGGCCCGTGTGGTGGGCTTATCTCTTATTTGTTTTGTGCTAGGAATTTGAGCTATACCACACTTGGAAATATATACATACATACATATATGTATGTACATATATTCACATATACATGGAATATGTATTATATTACGCTCTAAAAAAACATTCACTTTAAATACACCTTGAGGACTTTTTACATTAAGTCAGTCAGTCACAGGAAGAAAATCTGGCAGTCAGGTTCATCGCAGCTGTCCAAGTGTCAGCAAAACAAAACAATAAAATTCAGGTAAACTATGTTTGTCTCTGTTTCGCATATATCCGTCTTGTTGATCACTGGGAAATGTATGTGTGTGTGAGTGCTTTTGAGTATGTTTGTATTAGTTGAGTCAAACAGGATGAATTTAACGGCCGGCCAGCCAGACAGCCAATCCGCAAAATTTGTTGAAACCCATAAAAGCAGAACAGGCAGACTCACTAATAAAAGTTTTGAGCCAAGGCAACATTTTGAAGTTCATTTAAAAACAAACAACAATATAATAATTTTGCCCCTGGTTTGACGGCGTCTGCGTCAGTGTCAGTGCATGCCAATGCGTGTATGTGTGTTTCTCAGTTCCAATAACAATTTTGCAGTCAACGTTAAACAAATTAGCCGAATAAAAAACCCACGAAACTTAAAATGAAGAAACAACAACAATAATAATAATACAATTTCAAGTTTGAAGCGGGCGACGACGTTGTCGGCGGCCATTTGTTAAAACATTGTTCGGAGGAGGAACGCCGCTTAAATAGCATTGAGAGCCCTGCCTGGCGAGCGAAAGGCCAATGCACTGCGCGTGACGACAACGACACGAGACAGCCAACAGAGGAGACGCAATGTGCCTGTGCCTGTGCCTAAGCCTTGGTGTGTGTGTGTCTCCGAGTGCATTTGTGTTTGTGTGATGAGGACGAGTTCACGCAGCCAACAGCTGGCCGCAGGCTTCATGCAGCAGAACAGGAGCAACAACCACCGAAAAGAATTATATGTATGTATGTATATGGAGGAAACCTATGAAAAACGTGAGAACGTGTGCAACGGAATGCTCGAGAAAAAGGGCGGTAGGAAAAATCTCACACGTTTCACAAAAAAAAATTGAATACATTCGTACGTAAATGCTAGTGCACAGACACACAAACATACCCGAGCAGCTGACAGCTGTGCAGACAGTTTTTGCTTTGTGTTACGCTTGTTTATAACAACAAAGACAACCAGCCATTGATAACAATGTCAAATGCGCGAAAGTGAAAGAGGGAGAGGGACAGAGAGAGCGAAAATAACACTAGCAATAATCGGGGCTATCTTTGCACCGGCGGCGTTGCCACCTTCGCCAACCCGATCGAAATTCAGTTAAATCGATAAACAGACAAACCCACAACAAATCGCACTCAAACGCACTACAAAACGTATGCAACTCTGAAAGGCAATCACACACATATATGCACAAGCATATGCAAAATAAGTGGTATACCGTATGTACTCAAATACGTGCAAGCCATATAAAACTTACATTTTATAAATGTCCCACAGCAACAAAGACTGTGACCAACTGCGAACAGATGTTCAAAAATCGAGTAGAAATGCGACAAAAAACGAAATGGTTTTACACGATAAAAAGAGGGCGCGCTGTGAAGTGCATGTCTCGCGCTTGACATAACTACATACATATAAAATTGTCCAAACATGTGTGTGTCCATGTTGGGTGTAAAACGAATAATCAATTGTCGCAACAAAGATAAGTAGCAGCCGACGCGACGCTCCACTCTCACTCTCTAGCTGTTCTCTCTTACTCGCTCTCACCCTCTGCCTATACATCGGTAATTGGCCACACGGGAATCCCAAATTGTCAACATGAGCACTTTGTATACGGTGCATTTTCAATAGCAACAACAATTGCGGCAGTAGGCAACATACCAGACGCACGCACACAGCTGCATAAATGCATCAATACATAGTATGTCTATATATGTATATACATATACATACATATATAGTATGTTATGGCAATATTTTGAATTTCGTTTATTCAACGCTTGCTATTTTTAGCCTAGAAATAGCAACAACAGTATTATAAAGAAAATGTGACTCACTGAGCAAGTATCACACAATTGTGTGAAAATACGCATTTATTTATTTTCATATTGAGAAAGGCGTTAATTTTGCCTACTGATGAGAGCGCGTCAGAGCGTCCCTAAATTATCGATAAATATAAATGCAACAAATAGGCGAACAAAGATGATTGCAAGTCGTGATTGTTGGTAATTACTCTGTAATCGGCTATTCTTTTTTAACTCTATGTAATTTTCAAAATTATTAAATCTCACGTTATAGATATGTATATTTTAAGCAACAGACTATCAGCTATCCTTCACTCTAAATAACTACTCAGGCTTTATGGTATGTACAGGGTGTTTCAATGCCGATAAGCTTTCACAACGCAGTTGTGTGTGTTATTGCTACATACATATGTGTGTATGTATGTACATGCATTAATAATTAAAAATGAATCATAATTCGAACTAGAAGACACAACTCTATAAATGTGATTCCCCGGAAAGAGCTGGCACATTTTCCTTTATTTATGTATGAAATAATTGTCAACATGTAAAGCTTATAGCCCGAAGTGAATCCCACTTATTTACGATATATACTTTTTGGAATTTCTTAAAATTCGGCCTTAAAAAGACTGCAATTATCTAAGTATTTACTAAAGATTGCCTTAGAAAGAATAGCAAACAAAGCTGAAGGCCAAGGTAATTAAGACAGTTTACTTTTATCGTATAAACCCTATCAAAGAACAAACTTCATAGCACACTCTCGAAAAAAGGGAAACGAAAATACATACATACATATAAACACAAAGCAAAGGGGTACAATGAACTGTGGCCCAAGCGGACTCTGAATTTGCCCCCGCAAGCCAACACACAATATTGAAGATCTCACTGAGCAACAAAATAAAATAAAACACCAGAAAAAAAACAAAAGCAAATGGCTTGTTCTCGAACTCGTCAAACAAACGTTCAATGACCGATTTAGGCAACAACGTGATAGTCATTGCATAATTTTTTATTTTTTTTTTTTTGCAAATTTTTTCAAATTTACAACGGAAATGCGTTTTCCCACCTTTCTCTTCCTTATGTTCGTGCTAAAACAACAAATTTTACAAAAATAATTGTAATCAAAATTAACAACATTGACCATGGAATGGGCACAAAACCAAGTTTTCCATTTATTTTGATAAGATAAGATGTTCTTTCAATGGACATTCTAATCTTATTAATTAAAAAAGAACCGAAAATTTAAGAGCAGCTGTGATTGTCGATTAGGAGACGGAGAGTCAGAGACAGAGAGAGAAAGAGAGAGAGAGTGAGAGAGAGAAAGAGCGGGAACGAGAAAAGAAAGAAAGACGTAGAGCGTTAAGCTAAGCTTCGAATGAATTTTAGATTTTTAATTGGCTGAAGGTGCTTGTTTTTTTATTCATTAAAAACGGTTAACAATTAATAATTTATGAAAAAAAAAGTATAAAAACCTGTTCAAAAAATATATTTTCTTTAGCAAAATCTATGTTTATAAATTCAAAAATTTAATATTTCATTTTTCGTATATTTAATATAATCGCAATTTTCTGTTTCTCTTCCTTTCTCTATCTATAAGAATATATCATTATCAGTTGATATCAGCTGATATTCAAATTCGCAATAATACCTCGGAGTTTTGCTAAAGGTATATTTGAAATAAATTGAATGCTCAAAATGTTTTTCAAATGATAATAAAGGTATTTACTATATTTGCGTCAATGCAGACTAATTACGTTGACAACTGGTTCGAAGCTTATGGACTTGTTTGTTTCCCAATTAAGTGGTTTTATTTTCAGTCTTGAAAGCCAAGACTTAAATAAAATTAATAAAAAACAGCGAACTACTATTATTGTTCAATTTGTTGTTGTTTCGTAATGCTGGCCGATCGATCGGCCCATCGATATCTTCTGCCGCTTACACATATACATACATAGGCACAGCTAGGTAGATGTGAATGCTAATCAGCAACAACACCCAAAAGTAAAACATAAAAATAAAACCCGATTAAAACAAAAAAAATACAAAATAGCTAGAAGGCTCAAATCGTAACCAAGTCAGAGCTGCTGAGAGAAGTGAACGAATGAGCGAGAAGCGACTCTCGCGTCTATTAAGTGGAGTGAGCGGCAAAGCAACAAACTAAAGCTCAAAGCTCTGCAAGCTCTCAAAAACTTG